CATGTTTTTGACGTTAATGATCATTTGACACCAAATTATTTCCACCACTATCGTCGTCATCATCGTCGTCATCATCATTGCTTTCATTACTGTTACCATTCCAGTTGAAATTAGCGAGAATAGTTCGAGACTTTTTCCTATTCACTTTTTTTTAATCATTCTAATTGATGTTTCGTATTTTTTCTATCATCGCCATCGTCATCATCACTGCCATCATGTCATCACCATCATCATCATCATCATTTATCCAACGTTATATCATTTTCATGTACGCTTATCACTAGTGAAAATCATCATCTTTGAAATAATCGTCATTATCATTATTATCATAATCATTATCATGACTGTAATCATTATTGTTATCATCATCGTCTCATCATCGTCATCATCATCATCATCATCATCATCGTTATTATCATATAATCGCTGACGTCATCATTCGATCCCACTGGTATGTATAGTTTACGATAACTAATAAATTGTGTGTCTGTGTGCATCTCTGGACATCTCTGTGTATTTGTGTGTATCTGTATGTGAATGTTTGTGTGTCTGTGTGTGTGAGTGTGTGCGTGCGTGCGTGTGTGTGCGTGTATTGCGGTTTTATATTTGCACGAATCTTATCTTAATTTTTCACGAATGTGTATATATCAAGCGTTTTTATTTCAAACGTACATCATTTTTGCTTTGTTTTCTTTTTGCTGTTCTTCATAAATAAAATATATTTGTATTGATATACGCGCATCAACAAACACACAGCCACACACAGCCACTCACAGACATAAACACAGCCACACACAGACACACACAGCCACACACAGGCACACACAGCCACACAGATACACACAGACAAACATACACGCATACGCGCACGCACACGTTTTAACGAGGGGGACAAACAAAACATGGGATCATTATTACGTTGCATGTATGTAACATGATCTCATTGAACTGCCAGTGTTATGTGATGCGTGAATATATGAGGGTGGTGTTTGTGTGTGTGTGCGCGTGAAAGAAATAAAGAGGAGCGTGTGTTGTTAAATTTTATGTTTAATTAATTGTATGCATGTTTGTTTATTGAGCTATAAACAGTTTATGTTGTTGATACCCGAACGATAAATCGTTTAATTAGAAGGAATTCATTTCTTAACCTACTTCAAAGCTATGTGGCGCTTAATGAATTTAAATTTACTGTGTGTGAGTGTGTGTATGTGTGTTTATCAGTGTGTGTGTGTAAATATATGTGTGTATATATGAGATTATCAGTTTTGTATGTATGTGATTTTATGTATGTTAGCTATGTATCTATATGTGTGTCTACTTTCCAGTCTATGTATGCGTGTCTATATATAGGTGTCATTATGTTTGTGTGTGTGTGTGTGTGTGTGCATATAAGTGTGTATGTGTGTTTGTTTGTTTGTGTGTAAAACCAAATAGCGATAACACATTTTTAAAGGCTGTTATCATGTGACGAGCGTTACTACTTAACGCGTTGTTTCCTAATCGCTATGTGCACGTGTGCATGTGTACGTGTATGTGTGTGTGAAATCTTTCGTCAGCTTCTCCCATTCCACTTCACTCCTTTATCTCACATACTTTTTCTTAATCGAGAAACTTTCATTTCGGCTAACTTCACTTTTAGTTCTCATTATTTTGTTTTTTTTATTATTATTATCATCAGAATCATTATCATTATTGTTATTATTATTATTGTTGTTGTTTTCATCATTGTTATTGTTATTATTATTATTCTCATTTTGTCGTCTATGTCAACGTCCAAATAAACATTTCGCGAAATGGTTGCCCTTTCAAACAGATTTCAACATTCGTCGAGCGTTGTTTTAAAATAAAAACAATATTATTAAGAATAATAAGAATAAGAACAACAACAACATTAGGGATGATTAAGAGCAAGAACAACAGTTACAACAACAACGACGACTACAACAAGAATAATAACAATGCGAATTAATAGGAGGGAGAGGCAAACAGACGAAGTCACAACGTGATAAAAAAAGAGGAGTGAGTGAGGAGCGCTGAAATGCCAACAATGCAAAATACAAACAATTCCTCTTTATTAAGTCACCATGTAAATAATCCTAACACATTTTTGTCATACGCACACACACGTGTACACACACACATGCACACACACACACACACACACACATATATATATATATATTAATAGATAGATGGATTAATTGATAGATTGATAGACAAACAGACAGACAGAGAGATAGATAGATAGATAGATAGACAAACAGACAGAGATAGACAAAGATAGACAGACAGATGGATAAATAGATAGATAGAGAGACAGATATATATGCATATATATATATATATATATATATATATAAACTTATATAAATATACTTTTATATGTGTGTTTGTGTGTAAGTGTTTGTCTGTGTGTGTCTGTGTATGTGTAATTGTGCGTGCGTGTTAATTTTGTAGTTAGTCATGTCTGTCTAATTATGTGAATGCATAAATGTTTTAGTATAAAATATTTTTCAATATATATATATATATATATATATATATATATATATATATATATATATATATATATATATATATATGCACCATTTTAACATTATAACGTTGTTTGTATATGCATTGTATGTATATACAAACTCACTTTTATACATTTATTAAGTGTTTTTTTTTTTTTTTATTAAAACATTTGTCGGATTGCAATTTTTTTTTCGCATTTTTTCCAAATGAATGTTCATATCCGATGGTAATATGTAACAATTTTGTTGTTAACAATCTTTTTTCACGTAATTGCTGAATATTTATTTGTATGTTTTTGTGTTTGCATATGTATGTGTGTGTATTTGTATATGTATGTGTGTTTGTATATGTATGTGTGTTTGTATATGTTTTTATTTTCTGATGGTTTTCATTACTACTATGAATAGCATTTGTGAAAATAACCTTAGTTCGTTTGTTCCATTTTTTTGAAACGCAAGTATGCAGATATAGCTAAATATATACTCATACAATAGGAACAACAAAAACACTAAACATACACTTACACAAACACGTACGCATAAACACAAGAATGCACACAAACAAATTATTTTCAAATTTCTTAATATCAAATTTATGAAATTTCTGAATCTTAAAAATCGCTTAGATGACAAATTTTTAGTCAAAAGTGTATTTAATTCAAACATTCCGACGATATTATACTTATTTTTTTTGTTTCTACCACCTTATGAATCAAAATATTTTCTGATATACGTTTCAATATACGCACGAAATCTCAAGCGTATGTATTTTTTGTATAATTTGCTAATGTTTGCATTGTTATATTTGTGTATATTTAAATATGTATTTCGGTATTTGTCTATGTATATATGTTTGTATTGCCCTATTTGTATTTTTGTTTGCATCCTGGTATTTGTATGTATTTAAATAACAAAACTAGCAAAAAAACCAAAAATAAAATAGACAGAATAGATAATAGACCTAATATTGAAACGACATACGTATACAAATACAACGACATACAAATGTAAAACAAATCATGACAACAACAACAACAAAAACAACAAAACAACCCACAATGTTAACTGCAATATTACGGAAAAAATGTTATCAACATTATAACATTATAAACAACAACACTAACACTAATAACATTAACAACAACAACACTAACAACAACAACAGACACAACAAAATCATCAGCAACAACAACACTAACGACAACAAACACAACAATAACAACATTTACAACACCAACATTCGCAACAACAATAACATCAACAACATTAACAACAACAAAACATCAACAACACTAACAACAACAAAAACATCAGTAACAACAAACGACGTCTAACAACGACATCAGCAATTTTTACGCTCAGCCTTTCCATAAACTAACATTTATAGCGCTAAAGAAAGAACAACTACTAAGCAGACGTCGTTGTCGTGAGAGAGAGAAAGAGAGAGAGAGAGAGGAGAGAGAGAGATTGAGTGAGAAAGTGGGAGGATAAATGAATGAGTGAATAAATGAGTGAATAAATGAATGATTGAGTGAATGTGTGAAGGAATGTGTAATGTGTGTAAAGGAATAAATAGATAAATGAATGAGTTTGTATGGAAAAATAAATGAATTAATTAATAAACGGATAAAATAGTGAGTGAGTGTGTGAGCGAATAAAAAAAATACGGAAAGATAAAGTGGAAAAGAGAGAGAGAGAGAGAGAGAGAGAGGGAGAGAGAGAAAGAGAGAGGGAGGGAGGGAAAGCTTGTACTGACTTAACAATATACAATGTTTTGTTATTGGCGCTGTTTACTACGGTCTTCATATTTATGCATTCTATTAATTCTTTCTTTCGCTGGGTTTGCCGATCACATAATGTTGTGTGTGTGCGTGTGTGTGTGCGCGCGCGCGTGTGTCGTTGTCGTGTATCAGTATATCAACGCATTTTAATATGTCGTTGTTTATATATTCCTTTGTTTGTCGATCTAATCGTTGCTTGGATTTTGGGTATTTTTATTCGTTTGGCTGGTTTTCACTGGATAGTGTTTTGTTTGTTTTTTTTGAGTTTATTTTCACGAATTCACATCCAAGAATGATTTTAGTTAAAGTTAATTTTGATTGGTGTTGCGATTGCACATCTTCGATGGGTTCGATGGTTCAATGTACCACAATAACCAACAACAACGACATTAACAACATTTCTGAATACTTGTCATACATTGTATTTGTTATTCTTTTGCTTCTGTTGCTGCTCTTTAAGTTTCTATGAAGCATTCGAAAAATATTTTTGCTGAGTTTTTTTTGCGTTTTCGCCAAACTTACAATCAAAATTCTCAAAAATTCAATTTGAATATTGAAAATTTCTCCGTTCAGAATTCAAATAAACGAAGTAGAAGAACTGCTGCCTCTGTGCAATCGACTGGGAGAAAAAAACTATTTTGTTTTGTTTAATTATGACGTCACCATGACTACAGAGTAATATGGCGTCTTTTTGTCGTCCTAAATGTTTTTGTCGTTGTTGTTGTTGCTGCTGTTGTGGTTGTTGTTTTTGTTGCTGCTGCTTCTGCTGTTGTTGTGGTATGTTGCATGTGTCGTCATTGTTTCTAATGTTGTTGATGTTATCATAAAACTTTTTAATGGTTATTATTTTAAGTTATTTAGCGTTGATTTCCATGCTGCTTTGGATATTATTTTATTCTCGTTTTACGTTTAAAAAATTTTTATTAGAAAAAATTTTTAGTTCACGTGTTTTTTTTACAAACATACAAAAAGTCAAAATCACTCAAAAATTTTGAGAAAGAAAACTTAAAAAACAGCCAACAACATCGCCAACGAGCGAACTTCATGTAAAGGTGCTAATTGTGAAGTTCATTGCACCAAACATCATACATACATACATACGTACATACGCACATACATACATATACACACACACATACATTGATGCATGCAAACAAACATACATACACACACACACACATGCATACACATACACACACACATACACAAACATACACACATATACGCGACACTAACAATGCTAATAATGCATCACATGTTGTTTGTTTTTATACCGTATCTTTAGTATCTTTTTACTACTTATACTACTACTACTACTACTACTACATTACTACTACTACTACTACTACTACTACTACAACTACTACTACTACTACTACATTTGCTGGCGTCTGCTGTTGCTACTACAACTAGTATTAATACTGCTAATAATATTACCTAAATATATCTGATTGTGGTTATGGTGGTGGCTGGCGTGTGGCTGAGTGTATGCAAATTTCATTACATACATTGCCTGGGACGAAAAAATTTATAAACAACCAGAAAACAAATAACATTATGTGACGTGCGGGAAATGTTCGTCATACGATGGTGATGATGGTGATGATGGTGATGATAGTGATAATGATGGTGATGATGGTGATGACGACGATGATTGGGATGATGACGACGATGAGAATGATGGTGGAGAAGTTGATTAACCAAATAGTTGATTAATTTCCTCATGAAGATTGCTTGGCTGATGTGCTGCTGTTGATTAGTTAGTTCAAAGAATCAACGTCTTAATCAATTTATCAGCTCTCTTCTTCATCCTCATCATCATCATCATCATCATCATCATCATCATCATCATCATCATCATCATCATCATGAACCAACAACCAGACAATGATTTACATGTCTATAAGAAACCACAATATCAAACAAAAACGACAACATAAAGAAAAAAAAGCACACACACACGCACGCGCACACACGCACGCGCACACGCACACACGCATGCACAAGAACATAAACATACGGCCGTACCATAGAAAACAAATACCGACAGATTATAAACAGCCCCCATAAACAAATAAACATTTACGTTTCTTTGTTGGTCTTTTATTCGCATAAGTCCTGACCGCCATTAAATTGCGCTATATCAATCTAAAATTTTATTAGCCAGGTCGTATATATATATATATAATATATATATATATATATATATATATATTATATATATATATATATGTATGTGTGTGTGGTGCCTGTGTGTGTGTGGTGCCTGTGTGTAAACTTTTGTTTATGAGTGTGTGTGTGCGTGTGCGTGTGTTTGTTTGTTTGTTTGTGTGCGGCTAATGTTTACGCCGTGCAAACCGCCTTAACTGCCTTTCTATCCTATTCCATTAAATTGTCTATGAATGAATGAACGAATGAATGAATGAATGACGATGGATGAATGTATTAACTGATGAATGAATAGAAACCAAACAATTAATAAATGTTTGTAAAAATGAACGTTTAACTAATTGAATGAATGAATGAATAAATGAGAGCTTGAATAAATTATGATGCAACAGTGTAAAAAAGACTCAAGTCCTCACACGTACATAAACACACATAGACACAAACAAACATACCTTTACAAAAAAAGATAAAAGAAAAAGAAAGAGAGAGACAGAAAGAAAGAGAGAGAGAAAAAGAGAGAGAGAGAGAAAGAGAGAGAGAGACATAAACGAGTTTATATGGGGTGATATGTTTAGCATCATTATTTCCTCCCTCGCACATTTTACATCCGTCAGCAGTTTAAGTTCACTTTTAGATTCTTTTTTATAACCCCAGCTACCGACATAGTTTGAGCAGAGTCCGTTTGTGTGGTTTTGTGTCTCTGTGTTAGGTTTCCTCGTTTGTTTTGTTAGTTTTTTTTATTTTTTGTTTTTTTGTATTTTGATTCGTTTAGTATTTTTCATAATATTTCTGCCTCTGTGTTTGTCACTGATTTGTTCTTTTTTTGTATTTTTTCGCTATTATTTATAAATTTTTTATTACTTTAGGAATGCATTTTTATTGTCTATGTCTAAAAGAATATGCAAAACCCTAGGAGTTATAAGCAAAATTAAAAATAAATTAAATAAACCTACTCTAATTGACCTGTATTATTCATTAATCTTTCCTCACATCATCTACTGCAACGTAATTTGGGGAAACAGTCCTGACATTCATCTAAAACAGTTAACAAAATGCCAAAACCGATTCATCAGAATATTTAAAAATCTTCATCCTCATTGTCACACAAGTGAATATTATCTCGAGATGAAAATACTCAACATCAAAAACTTGTTCATCTACCACGTTGCAACATTCATTTTTAGA